ATATATATATATATATATACTTTAAAAGAGAGGGAGAATCATTTGAATCACTACCTTGGTTTAAAAAAAATGTACATTTCAATTAACCCCTCACTGATACATTTATAATACCCTTGCTTTTCTTCTCTTCCCCCTTCTTCTTCTTCCTTTGTATTCTCCTCCTCCTTTTCTATCACATCTAACATTGTGCATTTGTTTATTTTTTTTTAAATAAAATAGCATTCATTAGTTTTTTAAAAATAAATCATTGTGTGGTCAAGTGATAAAAATCGACTGCAGATATCATAAGATTGAAACCAAAGTAGCAGATTCAACTGATCTCCTTATTTTTAAAGTTAGAAGTTCTACATGTTATTTTTATTATATTTTTCATAACACATGTATTGAGCACTTTTTATACTACTGTTTCATGATTTGATTCAAATCTGGCCATTAACCTTATATATATATATATATATATATATATACACTTTATTTTAGTATATTACATCAGAAACATGTAAAAAAACACTACACAGATGCGATAATGTTTTGATGTCTATTAACACATCTCATCAGGTATTAGTAAATGACTGGTGAGTCGACAATTTATTGGCATTTAAAAACAACGTACAAACTCTTTTCACGAAGAAAAGAATAAGAAAGAAAGAGGGAACTAAAAAGTTTAGATCTTAAGGTTAAAATAAGCACCAATATTAAACAAGATAATTTTCTCGACACATTAGATCTATTTAATGACAATTTTCAGCTTTATATGAAAAATAATGCCAATCCAATCAATTTTCACCCCCATTCCAATTACCCTCCATCTGTAATCCAACATATTCCTTCCTCTGTATAACATAGGATCAGCAACCATGCATCAGACAAAGATGTGTTTAAGAAACATAGAAGTGTGTACAGTAAAGTTCTAAAGAATCGTGGGTATATGTGTACTGAAATTCAAAGAAAAGAAATAGGAAGATCATCTGGTACACACATCCATTTAATCAATACTAAGTTCGGCTATAAATTTCTCAAGTTGATTGATAAACTTTTTCAAAAAAACAACTCTCTTAGTAAAATATTTAATAGAAATACATTAAAACTTAGTTATAGTTGCACCAATAATCTCAAGAAAATCATAAAGTTGCACAACAATAGCACTCTAAACCAATTTAATAAATTTAATAATCTTAATTATAATGCAAGTACCAATGAAAAATATTGTTAAGGATATCATTTTTTTTTTCATTAAGTGTAGTGTTACATGCTGAGGTATCTGAATTATTTGAATACAGTTTACAGCATAATTCTACAGTGCTGCTGCTATAAATCTCATGCCATGAAAGTATTGAACTCATGTGAGCCACCTTGACTCTCCAATTCTCATGTTCTTGGCAGAGCATCAAAACATCCTCCAGTAGCAGATTAATCTACTGGAGATACTGGTGGGATGATATCCTTCCAGCAGCTGCATGGTCTGCCAAAATGTCATCTCTAGTTTACAGTTGGCAGGTCAAACTGGTAGATGAGTCTGGTAGATTTGTTAGCAGGTTGTTATCGGACATGACCAAACCAGCAAACACACCATTGAGTGATGATGCAGAGTATGTTCACCTGGCCTGTCCTCAGGTGGATCTTCTCATTGGACACAAGATGATTTCATGCTGGCTAATTATTTTTTTTTTATTTCTTTATGAGAGCCGCCTTCACCCTCCAACTCTCAGAGACTTGGCAGAGTGTGTGAACACCATCCAGTACCAGATTAATCTGCTGGAAATCCTGGCAGATGACATACTTCCAGTGTCAGTATTGCCTGCCACAAGGATATCTCCAGTTTACAGATGGTGAGTTAAAATGAAAGATAACTCTGGTAGGGTAGTCATCAGGTTGTTGTAGGACTGAGCTAGCAAACACTGTGCTGAGCGAATGTGTGAAGGATGTTCAGCTGGCTGTTTCTCATGCAGAGCTCAGATATTTCCCACTGACCAATTATATTTTTGTATTTCTTTTATAGACAATATCTCAAAGATCAGTCATGATGAGTGATAAGAAAACTATAACTTTGATAAAAGAGGTAAATTTTCTAAATTTTTGTTATACCATAATACCTATTCTATTGTAATAGACTCTCCCACATATAATAAGTAGTAGTAGCAGTGGCCAGTTGGGCTCAGTGGTGTTGAGTGAGTGAGTGAGTCAGTCAGTCGTTTGTTGGACATTGAAGTATCAACCATCACAACTAGATTGCTGCGTCATTAACTCTTATTTCAAGTTCCTAACATTTTGTACGTCGAACCTAATTTAGGATAACTTAGTTCAAATACAAGCCTCCACTGTGAAAACTACTCTACAACACATTGGTGACCGAGGATTCGAAACTCATACGGCGAAAGAAGAAAAAAAACTTTTTGTACGCCTAACAACACAATTTCAAAATCCAGTTTTAGCAGGAGAATGTGAATGAAATTCTGTGACACTGTCATGAATTATGGTGCTGTACAGTACTTCCGATAATAGCTGTGAGGGGTACAAAATAACATTTTAAAGTAAGAGATATGCATATCAAATAAAGGCTGTTGCCTTTCATTGACAGGCTTTAACAAGAATAGAATTACTGTCTTCTGTTCTCAAATGAACTGCTAACACTTTGCTTTAACAGATTCTGTTAAATGTACCACTGCAACATTATTTTTCGATAACAAATGAGCATAAAAAAAATAAAAACCTAATAAACAAATTAAGAAACAAAACAAAAGGAATGTCAAATACTGAAATCAATAAAATAAAATGTTTAAAATGTGTTGATATCCAGTGTGAGAAACGAATAATTTAATTTAGAAATAAAAAAAAAAAAAAAAAAAAAATATTGATTAATTTTACAAAGAGTAAAAAATGTAAATTTTTCAGTTAATAGGTTTAATTTAAAACAAATTTTATTTGATGACTTTTTCGAATTCAGTCCTTCATGCTGGGATATTTGTTTTTAACAGTTTATTTATTTCATTCATGTAATCGTCTTTTGTCTTAAATGTTAAAAACAACTCAATATTCTATATTTCCCAAAAGCCATGAGTATTATCTGATTACAGTTTTTTGTTTTGTATCCAAGATTAATGTGCTAATCTAAAATTCTTTCAAAATTTTATAATCTCACAATAGCATAGTGGATTAAAGCATTAATTTGTGAATTTGGTTACATAGTAATTGTGAGTTCAATCTCTAGGCTCGGCAATGAGTATTTGGACTCAAAGGAAAAAGGGCAAGCAATAACTGATCAGTACTAAAAATAAGAATTAGAAAAGATATCCATAGACATGGCCAATGGAATGAGTATAGTTTACTACCAGAGATTAAATAAAGGGTTCAGTTTGGGTTACCCAGATTTATATATGCTTGATGAAGGCCGGAGAGCACAATGGCCAAAATGTTGTGATAACAACAACAACAAAGATACAATAGTCTGTATGTAAATAATGATAATCTCTGTTTATCAAATTTTAAGAAAAAGACACAACCATTGTTTTTTTTAAACAAATAAGCAATAATTTTTAAAAATAACCTTAAAAGCAAACATTAAATTAGATTTAAGCAGTACTAGATTGGCAGCTAGGTCTCATCATTTTACAGTTGAAATAGCTGAATGTAACCATAAGTTCGATGTTAGCAGTTTCTTATTTCTCCCTTGTAGAACTCTCTTCCTGTTTCTTGCTTTCCATTCAGCTTTCTTAAAAATTTTAAATGTAATATCAATCATTATCATGTATTGTCTGAATTCCTATTCTTACATTGTACACTCTCAATAATAATGTTTACTTTTTCTCATATTCTCTCACACTCAGTAACCCCTTGTGTCTTAGTGAGTTTATTGCCTTGTTTGTGGTAAAATTATTAAAATATAAAAAAAAAAAATAAAACTAGAAAAGAATTCTATTGTTTTTAGATTGTCAATTACCTATTTACATTATTTAAAGTTGGACAGTTGTCCTAATCTTTGTTGTTATTATCACAATGTTTCAGTTATTGAGCTCTCCAGCCTTTTTCAGATGCTTGTTGATCTGAGTCACCTTCAGAGAATTTCAAACTGAACACTTTATTTAATCTATTGGGGAGAATGTTCTCATCCTAGTGTTTATGTGTAGGGATATCTTGCCTTATTCTTATTTAGTACTGCACATTTATTGCTCACCTAACCCAGGGATTGAATTCATAATTACTATGTGAAATTCACAAACCATCACGAGGCTAATTGTGTGTTTAATTTCTGGGATGGGTAGTGCAAACTTAGAATCAGTGGAAACAGCAGAGGAGTACTAAATAAGAACATTTACACAATTTACATTGTTTGAACTGTTATCCTCAACTTTAGTGCTATATACACAATATTTTGGCCATTGTATGCTCTGGAATTCTTCAGGTGACATACGTTGGAATTCTGAAACAGAACCCTTTCTTTAGATATCCAAATAAGGCATGTCAATCTATATCTAAGTTTCAGTTAATTCCCTTTAGTAACTTAGCTCTCCAATTTTTTCTTCCTTCTGCTTGAACTCACAATTCTTTGGGTCAAGTCACTTTTTAGATTACTTCAACACTTTTATCCACTGGGCCATGTGTCCAAATGATGTAAATAATATAAATTGTTGCAATACCTCGTCTCAGAAATATAGACAGATATTAAACAAGAACAAGACATCCCCAGACATAGACAATGAATTGAGAACAATCTATTATCATAGATTAAATAAAGGGTTTGGTTCAAAATTTTCCAGAAGGTTGCCTGGACTGACAATCACCAAAAGAAGCCTGAAAGGCACAATGTTTGAAATGTTTTGATAACAACAAAAAGAATGAGGATATTTTTCCAATTATAAATAATGATAACTCATCATCCCAGATATTCAGACAGAAATTATCATTTATTTTTATATAAAAGAATAGACTGAATAATTTTTGAAGCATTAGAATGATGTAAGACTCAATATTGAAACTTTCTGGACAATTTGAAAGATACTCACTGTAAACTTTAATGGGTATTTGGACATAAGCAGAACTGACTGAGTTTATAGCTTCAATTGTGGCTATGTATGTGCCAGGTTGAGTATAAACATGGCTGACATTCTTTTCCCATGTCAACAGGGGGAGGCGGAATTCCTTGGAGAGAAAAAAAAAAGACAAAATATGTTGAATTTTTTAAAATTTTACATTTTAAAATAAACAAATTTTAAGATTTAGACACAGTTGCTTCCTAAATTAATTTTTTAAAATTTTTATATACTGCCAAGTGAATTCAAATAGTATGTTTATTTTTAAATTTTAATGTGGTGTAAAATTTGGAATTGAAATAGCATGCATCTGAATTCAGTATTCGGATTAAACCTTTCTAAATACACAATAACATCTTGCATTGCTGTATTAGTTTTTGTCATCATGTAGAGTTTCTTGAAGGCTTCAAAAGTAGACTTTGTGTTAATTCTCTATAATCATGTAATTATTGGTTATGATTAGTAGAAAAAGTGAGAATAAATAAAACCTATTCTTGCCTTCTTACTATAATTATTTAAAAAATGTTCTTAGTCAAAAGTAATTGAATTTCTATGATTTCTGTTATTTCATTCATTTTATTCACTTTCCTACTAGAGAATTATGGGTAGCTGTGACAGGTATACTCAGTACATTTCCTAATATCTGCCAAGTCTGATTATTGCCAGAGTCTTTTGCACTCTATTGATTTAATTTCATTTTATTGTTATGATGCTACTTCTGTCTAAATAACTGGCCAAATCACTTTATTTATTGGGTCACCTTATATCTTGTCAGGATCACTTCTAAAACTGGTCATCATGACCTTTGAAAATATATCCACAACTCTGAATTTATTCTGACCAAGAAACCCTGTATTTTATTGACACTTATATGAAGCTCTGAAAACCTTGAATTTTATCAATAAGAGAAAAAAAATGAATCAAGTAACTGCTTTTACTTACTTCATCACCAAAATGCCAGACATAATGCACATTGCCAATATTAGATGCAGTCATATGACGTCCTCTTACAACTGTGTTGAATATTGTTGGATGCTGCACTTGAGCGCCATACAAACTTTCAACACTAAACTTTTCAATTTCATCTATAATTACAACAAAATAAATGCCAATATTAAAAATGAGAAAAAAAACAAAAAAACTCAAAGATTATATTATCATAAATACAATGGGTTTTGTATCATAATTTATTTAGATTAAAACAAAATATCTTTATTGTGATAGATAATTTTTACCAATATCTCTTCATGGTGCTTCTGCTTCAGGCTGCAATTTGGAATTTCTTTGATGCAAGAAGTATATCTCATATTTAAGAAACAAATATAACAAAGGCAAGAGTTAGGAAGAAAAAAAATGAGAATTTTATTTTCTGATGATGTCTAGAATGGTTTAGAATTTTCATAAATTTTATTTCTGTTTCTGACTGCATGAATTTAAGTGTGATTCACAACAACGTAGTACCATTTTACTGTTGAACTATCTAGATTCAATCATATATTCTAATAATTTCATTTCTTGTCTATGGAACTCCCTCCTGATTTCTTGCTTAACTGCCACCTACAATCTCTAAGAATATAAATGCAATGCCAATCACTGTCTTCTGTCTTTCTGAATCCCTTTCTTTTATTGTCCTTTCTTTCTCCTCAATAAAGTCATTTAATTCTCTTTCACTTCCAGTAACCCATTGCATTTCAGTGGCTTTATTGTCTTGCTTTGTTTGGTTTGGTTTGTTGTGTTTTATGGCATATCAACCTCAATGGGTTATTTAATGCCAACAACTTTTTTTTTTCTGGTAATATTTTGTTTTGTCAAAAATCTATTTCTGGTAATATTTTTTTCCTCAAAAATGTATAGCTGGTAATATTATTTTAAAACCTGCATTGCTGGTAATATATATATATTTTTTTTTTTTTCGAAAAAGGTATTGGTGGTAATATTTTTTTTTTTTTCAAAAATATATTGCTGGTAATATTTTTTTTTTTTTTTTTTTTTTTTTCATAAATATATTTCTGGTAAAAGTTTTTTTTTTCAAAAATATATTTCTGGTAATATTTTTTTACAAAGTATTTCTGGTATTAAAACCTATTTTTACACTTTTATAATACTTTTTACCTCAGTTTCATGGTTAACTATTTGCCCATAGCTGGGACCCTAACAGGTGCTACCACCCCAGGTCAGGGTGGACCTGGGAACACCAGCAATTAAGAGGTGGTTCCACGCTCTTCAAAACCTCCTGATCAGAGGCCTTGCTGTTGGACGTAGTTTATCGTCTTACCCAGGACATGTCTTGCTTGGAGTGAAATGATTAAAAAAGAACAAAAAAAAATAACAAACTTTATCACTGGTCTAGTTTAAAATGTTGTAATGTTGATATACACTGACATTTGGTTTGTCACTTACCACATGGTAAGGATTCTATCTGTATCTGTCTATATTTCTGAGATGAGGTATTATAATCATTTACATTGTTCGGACTGTTGTCGTCATCTTTATTGTGAATATGACAATAAAGATAAGGACAATCTGAACAATGTAAATGGATTCTATCTGGTATATTAGAAATGCCAAAAGATTTAGAAGCAGCTATCTAATAATGTGTATCCCCTTCCTTTGCATGAATAACAGCAGCTACACAATGTGATATATAGTCTCCATGGTATATAAAATAAGGTGCCAAAAAATTAGGGAAAACTCACTAATAATGGAGTAGCATAGTCCATATGCCCGTAGAGTCATGATATTTGTTTTGTTTTGTTTTATGGCATATCAATCTCAATGGGTCATTTAATGCCAACAACTTTTTTTTTTCATGGTAATATTTATGTTTTGTAATATTTTTTTGCCCAAAATGTATATAGCTGGTAATATTATTTTAAAAAGTGTATTGCTGGTAATATTTTTTTTCAAAAACGTATTTTTTTTTTTTTTTTTTTTTTTTTTTTTTGCAAAAATTTATTTTTGGTAATAATTTTTTTTACAAAGTATTTCTGGTATTAAAACCTATTTTTACACTTTCACAATGCTTTTTTACCTCAGTTTCAGGGTTAACTATTTGCCCCGTAGCTGGGACCCTAACAGGTGCTACCACCCCAGGTCAGGGTGGACGTGGGAACACCAGCAATTAAGAGGTGGTTCCACACTCCTCAAAACCTCCTGATCAGAGACCTTGTTGGACGTAATTTATCGTCATACCCAGAACAGAGTGTGTTAATATGGATATATTTATCCAGTCATGTTCTAAGGCTGTTCATAAGTTAGGTGTAACTTCAGGGAATTTAATGAGGTCTGCAATATGTCTAATACGATAGAGTTTAAATCTGGAAAATGATGGGGCCAGTGGGTAGGAGCTACATAATCTTGCTGGAACAAACCATCATTATTCAAAAGGAAGGTGAACATAAAAGAATTCAACTGATCTGCAAGTAAAAATTCCTTTGGAACACACACTACACTATTAAGAAGGTAAATCAAAAAGTAAATGCAATTTCCATGAAACATCTCTATTTCCACTGATGAAGAACAAATGCATATGTTACATTTCGACAATGTCCCCACCAATGCACTTTTATTATCATTCAACAAGATTCTTCATCCCTTCCAAAAAGAAGTTGCTCATGTAGCCATATTTGCAGCTCTTGCTTGTTTGGGCACACAAACAATATGGTACCACAAGTTATCATGTATTATACCCTACCACAGCTAATGTCCATGTCTGCTACCACTTGTGCTAACATGATTTATCCGTCTTCTCTGATAAAGTCATCCTCTCTTAGAATATTTTCTTCCATGCACAATTTTTACAGGCAACCAGATCAGTTTACATACATTACACTTGTTTGAGCCACTTTCATTGATTCATTGTGCATACTCCATAGTGTTGCTGACAGAAATATCACTACAGTACCCTTTCTATGGGTATTGCTCTCTGCCACTTGGCTAGACGATAGAATGCTGCACACAGCTAGTTACCCGCTCATCCCATGTGCCTCTCTGTTATTTTTAGTCATAATTTCAAAATTTCCTGTACTTTTTGATTTACCCTCATCCATAGCCTCTACCATTTTACACAATACCTTACTGACAGGCGAGATCTATAGCCTAATATCTGACCCTGCTACCCATTGGCAAGCATATTTAGTTAAGCTTTACATATAACCTGAAGATTCCATTCAATCATGAAACAAACTCTCACCACACTGTGTTGACTTCAGTGTCTGCTGAGATATATATATATATATATATATATATATATATATATATATATATATATATATATATCCACATACATATTATATTTAGTAGATACATGTTGTCTGAATATACATGATTGCTTTTTAAACTGTAAATACTAAATACTTCAAACACCCCTGCATATGAATCAGTTAGAGCAAATTTAGTATAGAAGATAAAGAAATGGAAACTAGAATACAATGCATTTGGGGTAGTTTCATCTAACATCACAAAATGTTGCAAAACCAAAACATTAACCTGAAAACTTGAGTCATGTTCTTACATAGCATCATCAGATTGAGACTTTCATATGGATACAATACATGGCACCAAACTCATTCAGAAATAATAAAACTATGAGCTGTATATCACCACTTTCTAAGATCAATGGTTAAAAATGGCTTTGAGTAAGTGTAGCCTGTGGGTCTTTATGAAAGACCATCCTTCTTTGAATGTTGTGGACTGGCGCTACAGAATCACAAATAAAGAACTGTACCAAATATCAGAAACCACATCACTTGAGGACTTGCAACAGCTAAAATGGATAGTACATGTGAATCGTAGAGGAAAAAATGACATGATCAAGATGTTAATGTGGTGTCCACCCATGTAGTTAACCATCTGATAAGGCAACATACCACTGGTTTTTCATTACCCAATGGGGAAATTCTTTAGTCAGGTGAGATGTGCTAACCAATGTAGGTGATGTTCGTAATAGTACCCTTGTTGGTCAATGGCAATAAAACTTCACACTGAATTGATGGTTTCAGCAGTACCAGTGTTGAACTGAAATATGATTTGATATCATGTTCTCCTTTTTTGGATGGTTATTATTCTTGTCAATCAATGGTGCTCCCATTCTTGTATCACCTGTAGGCACCTACAATTTTCATATGTTGCTAATATCTGTCCCAAATTCAAATTTTCCTGGTATATCCTTGCTATTGTTGCTCAACAACCTTCTGACTTCAACATTGTTTGAATCCTACAGCTGCCATAGCTACACAACCTCTTTACCTATTACATCACAATGTCATCTAGCTGAGCCCATTTCTACAATTTGGGAAGGGGAAAACTATCTCATGTATTACTGTCTTTAATTTTTTAATAATTTCTCTTTATATACACAGCCAGATATATTAACTGTTCACACAAAGTTTTAGAATTGTAGTGAAAGTTATTTTTATTTTTTTAATCATTTCCCCAGAAGCAAGGCAATAAAGCCACTAAGACACATGGGGTTACTGGGTGTGAAAGAATAGGTTAAAAAGAATATTATTAAGGAGAGAGAACAATAAAAGAACAGGAAATAAATAAATAGAAGATAACAATTGACATAGCATTTAGATTTTTGAAGATCAAATTTGATTGGAAAGCAAGAGGTCAGAAAAAAGTTTCACAAACAAGAAGTACAAGAAGCTGTTGGCATAGACCTTATGGTTACATGTAGCCATTTCAACAATACAATGACAAGACCTTGCTACCAATCTATTACTGTTTAAATTTGTAAAGTCAATGTAATGTTGAGGAAAGTTCATCAGAACAATTTTTATAGAAAAGCCACATTATGGTGGCGGAAAAGTGACTGAAGCTGAAACAAAGCACAAAGGGTTGCTAAGCCATAAAAAGAAACAAATGACTGAATCAATCAATCCCCTCAAATTTAATTGAAAATATAAGAAAGTTGAAAAAGATCTTTCTCATCCTTTCTTTCATTCTTGTGAGTTTTGCTCAATGTGAAGTTAAATAATTGCTCTCTAATGTTAGAGATAAAAAAAAAAAACTCAGTGTCTGGTACTGCTTGATTTGTATCTCACTTAAGTGACTTATTTCCATAAAAAAAAAAAATTCTTGT